TTTGTTTTTTTATTTTTCACCCATCTTGTAACAGAATGAGTTTTTTAGCATTTTGTTTTCTTTTATTCTTCTTTTCTTTTTCTTTTCTTTTCTTTTATTATTATTTTTATTTGTTTTATTTTTTATTATTCACCCATCTTGTAACAAACTGAGTTTTTTATATTTTATTTTATTATTTTCATTTTCTTTTAGTTAGTTTCTTTTCTTTTCTTTTCTTTTTTTTCTTTTAATTTTTTTCTTTTATTTAATTTCTTTTCTTTTCTATTCTATTTTTTAAAAAAAATATTATTTATTTTTCACCCATCTTGTAACAAAACAATACCTTTTTCAAAGGTGTCCTTTGCTCCTGGGAGCTATCATTGTTGTCTAGAACTTAGGTTGCCTTTGTCTCTTTGAAGGCACATTGGACAAAGCAGGGATGGCCAACCTCTGGGCCTGCAAATCTTTCCCTAGGAACTTTGAAAATTTAAAATTTAAATTATCACGTTTGGGTGAAGTTCACCTCCCTCCTTCCAGTTGTTGATTCCCTTTCGTTTCATTCCCTTCAGGCCGCCCGCATGGCTGAAGAGCTGCGGCAGGAACAAGATCACTCCATGCACTTGGAGAAAATCAAGAAGAACCACGAGGTCACCATCAAGGACCTGCAGGTCAAAATGGAAGAAGCTGAGCAACTGGCTTTGAAAGGCGGGAAGAGGACCATCATGAAGTTGGAGGCTCGGGTAAGAACCGCTCTCCACTCCCCACCCCTATCCAATTTCCAGTTACTAACGCTTCCCACGTTCTTTGTGGCATCTGACCAGGATCATAGGACATAGAGTCTGTTCTGATCCAGGCTTCATAAACAGTAATCACACACGAACTTATTTTTAAAACAAAACTTATTTTATTGCAAGGCTAGGAACTGTTTTCAGCTGGCTGAGGAATTCTGGGAGTTGAAGTCCACAAGTCTTAAAGTGGCCAAGGTTGGAGACCCCTGCTCTAGAGCATCATCCCCCCCCCATCAAAGATTAGAATGGCCCCCCACTCTAGCATTCTTCCGGAAGGCACTGAAGACCTGGTTTTGCCAGCGGGCCTGGGGAAACCAAAGCGGGATAGTGCCCATCAAAGGGCTAGTGTGATCTGCTGCCGGAGTTGGAGGTGCTTTTTTTTTTTTTTCCCTATTGTACTTTATTAATTTATTTGATTCTTTTTATTAGCTTTGATTGTTTTTTTTATTTTAAATACGGTTTTACATTCTGTAAGCCGCCTCGAGTCGCCATGGGCGAACAGGCGGCAATATAAATTCAATAAATGAATAAATAAATTTCTCCTTAGTTCTAGGTTGGTTCTCTCCTGGGTTTGTTTCCGTCCATTGTTTCTTGTCCTGCCTTCAGGTGCTTTGGAGGATAGCTTGACCGCCCCATCTCTTCTCTGCCCCTCAAATATTGGAAGATGCTGTCATGTCGCCCCCCTAGTCCTTCTCTTCTTTAGATTGGCCATACCTAGTTCCCTCAAGTCAACCATCATATGCTTCAGACTCCAGACTTCTGATGTCTGTTGCTCTTCTCTGCACACTTTCTAGAATCTTTTCTTTGAATCGTGGTGACCAGAACTGGAGGCGGCATTCCAAGTGTGGCCTCCCCAGCGCAGGAAAAAAAATATGGCACGATCGTGTCTCGTCATCGTGCCCGTGTTATGGCCTTCCCTGGTCCCCTTTGAGGTGGATCTCACAGCCTCGGCCTCGGTTTCCTTTTCAGATTAAGGAGCTGGACAATGAACTGGACTCCGAACAAAAGCGCCACGTGGAGACAGTGAAGGTGCTGCAAAGGAACGAGCGGCGTCTGAAGGAGCTGGTCTTCCAGACAGAAGAGGACCACAAGAACAACCAGCACATGCAGGAACTGGTGGAAAAACTGCAGAACAAGCTGAAGACCTACAAGAGGCAGATTGACGAGGCTGTACGTACTGTCATTTTTAGACATACAGGTAGTCCTTAACTCTATGTACCTTTAACCATAACCATAACTAACCTATAACACACACACACACAATCTATATCTATCTATCTATCTATCTATCTATCTATCTATCTATCTATAGTTTAGTTATAGTTTAGTTATAGTTTAGATATAGTTGTTATAATTTAGTTATAGTTATAGTTTAGTTATATGGTTATATATATAGTTTAATTATAGTTATAGTTATATAGTTTAGTTATAAAGTTATAGTTCTAGATAAAACTATAGTTATACTATACACACACACACACACACAGTTATAGTTACAGTTTAGTTATATAGTTTAGTTATAGTTCTAGATTAAATTATATAGTTATACTATACCATACTATATATATAATTATAGCATAGTTATAGTTGCTATATATAGTGTATGTATACACACACACACACACATACATAATTAAAGTATAAGTAAATTATAACTACAAATACAACTACCAGTATAACAACTAT